CCCCCCCCCCCCCCACACACACACACACACACACACACCACCAGTGTCCCCCACCCCCACTTTACAAATGCTTCTGACGCCAATGGCCACTTGCGTTGTTCAAGCTAAGAGCCATTGTCGGCACTGGGGGCTAAGCACCCTTAAAGCTCAGATTCTAGAATCAACCCTGTCTAGAAGACATGTCATACTTCCTGCACAACATGATGTGTATTTAACTAAAATCCCACTTGAAATGTCAAGTAGAAAAATACCAACTAATTTGTAGAATAAATGCTATAATCTGGTGATATTGTGAGGAAAAAAAAGAAGAGGTGGAAATGTGTGCAGCGGTATGCAGCTGAAGTCGTCCACAAAATAAATCAATAGGTGTTTGTTGTGTCACTGACATGTGAGACAACATCAACGAGTACTAAATCCTCTCATATATACAGTATTTAATCCAGTGTACACACTCCAACTGGATACTCACCACCACGTCAGCAGTGCTGCTGAAACCTGTCCCGTAGTTATCTGTGGCAACAACTACAAACTTGAAATAGGACCTGCGCATGTTTCGAAACATCATGGCCGACTTGATGATGCCTGTGTAGGTCTCGATGACAAAGCTGTCCTGGCCCTCTGTTGTTGGCGGGATTATGAGGCGGTATGCCATGGCACTAAAGTTTCCAGTGTCCCTATCAGTGGCCTGTGTTAAACAAATAAAATGTATCACATCAAACTGAAGATTAAGTAAGATTTGGTCAAAATGAACAAAGCACATTTTCAAATTCCTGACTCGAAGCTACAACTTGATACCAACAGTAGATCATCCCGATATGAGCAGTTCAAGAGATATGGTTTGATTTGTCTTGATAATTGAGACAACAACTGGAAAAGCAGTCTAAATCCTATGTTTCCCTATTGTAATGAAGATTTATTGGTATAATCTGAAAGAAGAAACCTCAAAACATATTTAGATACTGGGATTTCCCAGCTGAAAAGAAAAAAAATCTTTGTTAGTGCACAGGGAAAGTAGCAAAAATGTAAAGTTTTTCTACTCAAAACCATGTAATTTGTTAGTACTGATCAGAAAAGTGCTTCAAGACACTCTTTAGAATTATTTTTCAGACAATTCATTCAAAAATACTCACAGATCAAAGCTTCATTCTTTGACAAAATGCAATTTTCTTAAATTTTTAAACCAATGCACTATAGCTGCGTATGTCTCTGCTTATATCTCTTCATACATTGCGACATAATCCTCCATTTGAAGTAATGGGTCAAAGTATTACAAATGATCAGAATACAGATGAAAAATACGACTTTTAGAAATTAATGCAATATAAGTTAAGTTTAACTTTTGATTTCAGCCTAACTTAACCCATCAATCTTTTGCCCTTTATTTTTTTCATCAGAGATATTTGGACTTTTCTTATAGTATAAACAACACAGGTGTAGTAATTGATATTACTAATGACTAAGTTCCTTTGAGTGCCCCAGTAAAACCTGGTAATTAACCATCAGGCGTCACTGTAAAATGTATCCATTACCAATAAATCAGTGTATTAATAAAGATTGGCAATCCTTCCAAAAATATATCAGATGAAGTGGTAATGGCTATTAAGTATAAAACATTATTCATTTCACTTTCCATTCAGGGTAACCTTATAAAATAGGTAGTTTTTATAAAATTGGTCTTAAAACAACAGGTTTTAAAATATGATTCAGCAGATTTTTCTACACAAGTCCTCCATTCTGTATTCATTTCTTGCAGTTATTTAAAAGTGATAAATCTAACTCGTTCAGTTTACTGATGACAAAGCCTTTATGTCAATTTATGCAACCAACAGTTTGCTTAACATTTCTTTTTATGTGTGCATGATTTTATTTGATTTTTATCTAGTTTGGTATTTCTGATTACATGGCATACAGTACGTAATCCAATTATTCATGCGTTTCAGCTGTTTTAGATCTCCAACTCCTTCAGTCAGTCTGTGTAGCTTCCAAGTGCCACACTTTGACTGCCTGCCACTTGACACCACAGGTGCTGACCAAATGACAAAGAATTCAATTTAAAATTGATGATGCATCTTCTCTGGCCTGGTAATGTCTTGGGATCTCACAGAAGGAGCTAGGAAGTGTTGCTAGAGAGAGGAGTGTGTGGGCTTCTCTCTTGGACTTGTTGCCTCCGTGACCCAACCATATATAAAAGAATAAATAAATGGATGAAGAGTAAGTTAGAATTAAACATATTACTAAATAAAAATAGAAAAAGAAATCATCTGAAAATCATCAAGAACTGGACTGATAGGAATTGAAAAGGAATCTAAACCTAAAGGAAATCTTGAAGAGCTATTGCTCAAGACCACTTTAAACAAATGGCAAGAAAGTCCTGGTGTTTTGAAGCATACTATAAAGAAACAAAGAATGTCCCGAGTGTTTTGCATGGTACTTTAGGCTTTTTATTCTGACTAGCCATCTACTATGGTTCACATGCCAGGACCAATTTTTAGACAGCCATCAGTGTCTGGTGACAGTGATGAATAGGAGCAATCTCTTTGGGGAGGGGTGAGCCGCCAAATGAAAGGAATGCATAAATCAACACAGTCTGATGTCCTCACTGAGAAACATTTGTCCAAAAATGTGTAACAGCATTGTTTATATAGTGCAACCCATTACAAGTTATCTAGACACAGGCTGAGGTGTATGAGTTTGTTCAATGTAATTGCCAGGAGACAGCATAGGGACAATCTATCGCCCGATACATTTCTGAAATAAAGGGAAACCAAAAAAGAAAGTCCACAATCTTAAGACTAACAAAAAGAGAAAACTTCAATATGGTAAAAATGGAAAGGCAGCCACTCAAGGAAGAACCTGAGAAGGATAATTTAACAAACCATGATTCCTATTATTTTCTGATTAAAAGTAAGTGTCACACAAAGAACTGTATAATTATGGAATCACTTATGTACCCCCCCCCCCCCAACATTTTCTATGTATACAACACACATTTTTATGGTTAATTGAACATTTTCTCTTAACTTTATCACATCACCAAAATAAAAATTAAAAACTGGAAAGATTTTCTGCTTCAAAAAGTGTACCCTTGTCTTATTGTGTCGCAAATATGTCTAGCTAGACAGCAAATGGAAAATGTAGGACAGAATATGACAATCTATGTTCCCTTTTTATTACCTGGTAATATTTTAAGTTATTATTTCAAGATACAAGAAAATGGTGATGCTTCTTTACAAAATACAAACAACTGCGGTAAAATGTGTTATCCACTTTGTTCTGTAATCTAAGATAATAAGGACAAATAATGTCCCTAATTTAAGCCAATCTCTGTGGTTTTTTTTTTTTTTTTTTTCATTTAGCTTTTATTTATCCATGTTAGTCTCATTGAGCCACGAGAACTCATTTTCAAGAGAGACCTGTTTTAGGGAGCACATGGTGGTGTTTAGTAGGAGTTTTGACACCTTATATAAACAGTAAAGACTAGAGAGATCGTTTTTAGGAAACACAGTTTATAACATTTCAACTGATAAGTAATTATCCTAAAAAGCCTTTTTTGTGCTGAAATAAATCTGACTCTTGCATTTCCTTGGGCACAAAACAGTGTTTTTCTGCCAGAAATACTCAAAGAGCCCAGCTTATTGATGTGTGAGTCAATACTACACTGTCAAAGTTCAGCGTACTGTAGACACTGGCTTTTTCCATTTTTGGGTTCAGTTTTAAAGAATCTATTCTATTATTCTTGGACACGTACATCCTTTGTTGTTTTCTTTGGCTGCAACAGTGTTTCGACTCTGCAATGACGGTAACACAAGTTTACACAACTGCAAATAAGAAAACAACTAACGTATTTTCAATTTTAAAATGTGTTTATCATCATGGTGGCCATGTGGCAGACATCTTGAACAGTGTTGACGCCAAAGGTTATTCAGTTGTAGACGAAACAAAAACTAAATGTTTATTTTCTGAGGGGTTTCAACAAGATCTATTCAGTTGGTTGTAAGATATTTTGCTAACAGGCAGACATTATTGATTTTAACAGTTAATGTCAAAGTTTAGAGCAAAGCTAATACACATTCTTTAGCACTGATATTAGTAGCATATTTCTGGGATGCCTCTCAGCTACTAAACCACATTTTAGCTCAATATCTGTGAAACTGGGTGGATTATAGCCAGTTTTAGCTAAGTTTGATTAACTGTAGAAGCTATCTTAAACTGTGTTGACTCCTAAAGGTAATCAGTTGGAAATGTACATCTAAAGATTACATTCAGAGAGTCTTATTAAAAATCTTTTCTCTAGAATGAGAAATACGTAGCTGACACAACAAGCACATGAAGACACAGACCCATGAAGTTACTTTATTGCCTGCCACTAAAAGGTGGGTGATAACTAACACGATGGAGCAATGACACAGAAAGAGATAAAGTCTCTGACAAACCATTTAATACTACTTAAAAGCAGGAAATTGACCATTATTTTTTCCATTTTAAAGAGCTTTTAAAAATCCCCAATACACCCTTGCCACAGCAAGTGTTGCCAATTTGAACATTTTTATACATAAAGCCAAGCCTAATTGTATTCCATCAGCTTGTCCTACAATAAACTTGAAAAAAAAAGTGTATATAGAACGCAAATAAAGACATAAAGCCAAGCCTAATTGTATTCCATCAGCTTGTCCTACA